CGTGGTAGAGCCCGCAGGACCCTCAGAGCCTGAGCAGCCACAGCCTGCTATTGTGCTCTGCCACCTTCGTGAGCTTCTTCGTCTAAAATGGGCCTAATAATTCCTACTCCACAAGGTTGTTGGGAAGAGCAAATGAAGCAACTTCCGGTAAGAGAGGAGAATGGAGTTTGGCACACAGCAGGTGCTTAGTAAATGTCACCTCCCGCCCTCCTTCCCCCTATAGAACTTGGAGTTCAGCTAGTGACTGACTATCCCAGCAGTAGGTTTTGAGGACGATGTGCTGGATTAGGGGACACAGGACCCCAATTCATCCTTACTTGGTACTTCTGGCAATCTCTTGACGCTTGTTTTCATCCTTAGATTAGCTTATAAGTACTTGCCCCGCCTACCTCCCCGGGTTAGTTATGTTGAAAATTAAGAGGTAATGGATGCAAACTTTTATACAAAGATAAAGGGTCATTGACACCACCGCCCAAGGTTTCAGCCAGGTCACACCAAACAGAATGCTTAGCTTTCTTCCTCCCTGCCCACACGAGGACCTTCTGGCTTGCAGGCATCGCAGGTATGCCAGATGCATTTGGGGAAGACAGCCTCTGTGGTCAGTCACATCTGGAGCACCTCCACTGAACTAGCACGTGATGGTTTTTTTTCAATTAAGATAAAAGACAACTGTGGAACAGAGGGCTGACTCGGGGCCGGGGAGTGGGTGGGGAGGCAATGTTCACTTGCTGTGCTGGCAAGAAGGCTGCAGGAGGTGTGTGTGTGCAAGCCTCGTAGCCCAGGACATGGCCTAAGGCAGACGTTAATGCACTCATCATGTATTATTAACAGTATTACATGCATTAACACGTTAATTAGGAGTCAGCCCTCAGTACTGAATCAGAATCCAAGTTTGAATGTCTACATGATTCCTGCCGAGCAGCCTGACTCCAGCCTGAGTTTATGATGGGGAACTCACTATCTTCAAAAGCTTATTCCATGTTTGTATGTCGATGTTTAAAAAAAAAAAAAATTGTTCAGTGCTTTCCATCCTTTTAACAATACCACGGAACGGTCAAGAGCCGGGAGCTCTGGAACCAAACTGCCCAGGGCCCAAAGTCAGTCTCCTCCCTCTATTGGCTGTGTGACCTTGTGAGTTACCTAACCTCTCTATGCGTCAGGTTCCTCGTTTGGAATCTGAGGATAATCGTAATATTTATCTCATAGGGTAGTTACGTGATGGAGTGTATTAATGTGACGGGCACTTAGAATAGTGCAGACACATAGTAAGTTCTCGGGAAATGCCAGTTATTATTGTTACTCTATGATTTCTTGTCTCCTTTGTGAAAGTATAAAAGTTGAAGAATAATGAAAGCACATTAAAAGAAAGTACGCCAGGCAGAGAGATAAATGAACTGTTTGCATAAACATGAATTAAGAGAGTCACACTCAAGGAAGAATTGTTCCCTGTTGAGAACAGCAAACATCTGGAAGGAATTAAATGGGGGAAGAGGGTGGGTGGTGGTGGTGGTGTGGGCTGAGAACACACTGTGACTGTTGGAAGGAGATAATTCATTTTTGGGGTGGGTAAGTGATCCCGAAAAAGGGAGGCTGCTCCAGGCTTCTACAGTATGATTTGGTGCCCGGAGAGGATGTACCCCTCCAAATAATTTCTGTTCTAAGTAGCCTGGGTACCTAAAATGTCTAAATCATTCCTTTGAGCTAATGCATTCCCTTGAAAAGGCCACCTCTAAAATGCACATATACTAACACAAAAAATAACAAGGTGCTATTTTACATCTGTGAAATTAACAATATGAAGATCCGTGAACACCCCGTTGCACTGAGTATCTGGCACTGAGTATCTGGTACATTTAAAAATCTATAATGTGCCTGTAAATACACACAACTTTGGGGGAAGTGATTTGGCCAGAGTGTTTTAGAATCACAAAAATGTTTATACCTTTTGATCTACTAATCCAACTTCTGGGAATTTGTTGTTAGGAAAACTTTCAAAACAAGGAGAGACCTTTCAGCATTTGTTTTGCTATGATTGAAAACAATTTTTAATGGTAAGAGAATGGGTAAATTACCACACATCCCCTTGCTGGGCTCTACGGGGCCACCAAAATTATAAAAGACAGACAGAAGGATGGGAAGATGTTTATGAAATAATCATATTAAGAGGAAAAAAACCAACTCAGAAGTCAAATTGTAAAGATTGGGGATGCTTAGGAAAGAAGCAAGAGAAAGAAAACCAGTGTGCTTTGTTGGAGGCTGTGGGAACGTGGAAGAATTTTTTTCTCTCTTTTATTTGGGTGTCTGTTTATACTGGTTGTGCAATGAACAATAAGAAAAGACCAAATGAACTCTCAGGGATGGGGTAGCTGACTGTCAACCACACCACATGGGCAAGTTTCAGCCCAGTTTTCTGGACAGAGAGAAGGGCCCTAGGGCTGGCACGTTCTGAGAGGAGGGCTGATGGGCAAGGCCAGGGCCCTCCGAGGGCACAGGGCACCCATCAGGCACATGTGTCACCTGCAGAGGGAAGGAGTCATCGGGGAGCCGGCAGAGGGTAGGAGTGTTCTGTTGCTGCTTCTGGCCGACCTGAAACTCAAAGCAAGTAGGTTGCGCTGTTCCCCTCAGTCACTCACAATTCAGGTTTCAAACCAGAATTTGCAGAGCTCAGAGTGTTCTTACTACATCTGATAAGCTGCAGTGTCTCTCTGAACTCCAGGGGCATCATGGGCAGGGACTGACACTAAATTACCAGGCTTTCTGTTTTCCAGTCACCCTGTGTCTAATACTTGCCAACCAATCTGGGTCGAATATGGGACACACACTGGCTTTAAAATCAAAGCCTGGCCTATGATGATTTCTTAGGCAGACAATTCCTGTGGTTGTGACTGGGTCATGAATTCATTTCCCCAGAGCCTCAACTTGTATTGACAACTCTGTAGCTCAGCTTCCAGAGCACGGAGCAGTGACATGAACCATTGGACCAGGAGGCAGAATGCATGCCTTTGGGCAGTTCACTTATACTCTCCTGGCCTCAGTCTTTCCATCCGTAAATTGGGGAGGTTTTTCACCAAAGACTGCATAGACCCAAATCCAATGACCAAAATCCACAAAGCCCAGATGAGGCTAAACAGGGCCCGGTTTGGGCCACATGAGAAGTCTCATGCCCAGAATGAAGGAGACGATCCTTCTACCATAATTTGTCCAGTCTGTCCACACCTTGGAAAAGCACACTTAGATAAAGCACCACCCCTAAGGGGCTGTTGACACCCTGGAGTGTGTGCAGAGGAGGGCAGCCAGGATATATGGAGGGAGGCTTAGAACCTAGTCATGAGAGAACAGATGAACGTAATACAGATTTCAAACCAGAAGTTTTGAAGTTCTGAAGAGCTGTCTTGTGGGAAAAAAAAAATGTTTCACTAACTCCACATGACCCCAAAGGGCAGGACCAGTGGATCGAAACTACGGGAAGGCAGATTTCCAGTCTGAAGCGAATGCAGAACATTCCAACAGTTAGAAGTAACTGAAGGCAGAAAAACGGGTATAAGCAGAGGCTGGATGCCAACTCGGCATGTGATCTTCTTGGAGATTAAAGTTCTGGGTGAGGGAGACGTTGAGATGGGGACTCCAAGGCCCCACCTAGTGCTGTGGGTCTCTGAATCTAATCTGAAGTGACTAAGCCCCTCCAGAGCGGCCACCACAGATGCTGTGCGCCTCCAGAAGCATCACCGAAGGATGACTCAAACACGTGAACAACCTATCCGCCCCCTTCCCACCTGAGGTTCTGGGAGAGAGCTATCCTATCCCAAGTTATCTTTGTCTGAACAGGCTGCGGACAAAGTTCCTTGCTCTCCCCATTCCAAGATTTCCAAGGCAGAATTCCCTCTGTGCTTCATCTGCTCCCACCTCCTACCCTGTCCCACGCTAGTTTCCATTTCTCTAGTGTGCAGAGCAGAGGTGGGTACAGCCATGGACAGTGCACAGCAGACAAGCAGCATCCCTCGACTTCTGGGGTGTGTGGGGAACCTGAGTCAGCAGAGTCCACAAGCCTCCAGGAGACACCAGATGCTAGACTGTAATTCTTAAGATGCACAGCCTTCCCCTTACTCTTGTGAAATAGCTGCTTATAACCAAGAAAAGGGAGCCTTTCCAAAAGGAAAGGGTGAAAAGTCACTGAGGTAGGTTGTTTGCTTGAGGAGGGAAATAGAGGATTTGGGGGAAGGGTTTGGAGGAGGCAGAGAAGGGAGGGTATGAATAGAAAAGCATCTGTACCTGGGGCTCTTGGTGCAGCAGGGGAGCAGGGGTGGGGGATGGGAGCCTGGACTCAGGAGGCTGGGAAAGACAGTGTTGCCTAGAGCCTGGCTGAGTCCCCTGCTGGTGTGCTCCCTTCAAACAGTTCTGGGGCACACCTGTAGGGAAGCACCCAGCTTCTGGAGCAAGCAAGCCCAGAATTTCCTGGGTTGGAATTCTGGCTCCAGGACTTACTTGCTATTCTACTTTGGGGGGATTTTAACAGCTCTGACCCGAAAGGGGGATAATAATAGTACCAGCTTCCTAAAGTTGAGAGGATAACACTCAATATATCGGGGCTAGCCACGTGAAGCTGCTGATATCTGGCCATTTTCGACATACAGAAATGACCATGTCACGTGGATCGACCTCACCCATATGGTGAGTTGAGTACGACTGCTCTGCACCTTAGAATTATCTTGGGCTTTTTTAAAAATGCCAAATCCCAGGTCACAGCCCAGACCAAGTGGATCACAATTTTTGTGGGCGGGACGCCTCACCAGGTGAATCTAATGGGCAGACCAGTTTGGGGGCCAGTGGCTTAGCACCGTGCGCGGGATCTACTGAGGCACTCCACCATAGCCACCCTCTGCTTTCCCTTCACTGAGGGCCTACTGGATGCTAGGCTCCGGCTGGGCCTGCCTCCCGGGACCCGGGACCCGGGACCCTCCCAGCGGAGCTCATATCTCCCCTCCCCCACCCCTCCTCTGCAGTGTCCAGGCCGCGGAGCTCCCCCGACGACCTGAAGGTGCTGACCCGGAACGTGAACCGGCTGAACGAGAGCTTCCGGGACTTGCAGCTGCGGCTGCTGCACGCTCCGCTGCAGGCGGACCTGACCGAGCAGGTGTGGAAGGTGCAGGACGCGCTGCAGAACCAGTCGGACTCGCTGCTGGCGCTGGCGGGCGCGGTGCAGCGGCTGGAGGGCGCGCTGTGGGGGCTGCAGGCGCAGGCGGCGCAAACCGAGCAGGCGGTGGCCCTGCTGCGGGACCGCACCGGGCAGCAGAGCGACGCGGCGCAGCTGGAGCTCTACCAGCTGCAGGTGGAGAGCAACCGCAGCCAGCTGCTGCTGCGGCGCCACGCGGGCCTGCTGGACGGGCTGGCGCACAGGGTGGGCGTCCTGGGCGAGGAGCTGGCCGACGTGGGCGGCGCGCTGCGCGGCCTCAACCGCAGCCTGTCCTACGACGTGGCCCTGCACAGCACGCGGCTGCAGGACCTGCAGGTGCTCGTCAGCAACGCCAGCGAGGACACGCGCCGCATGCGGCTGGTGCACATGGGCATGGCGCTGCAGCTCAAGCAGGAGCTGGCCGTGCTCAACACCGTCACCGAGGACCTGCGTCTCAAAGACTGGGAGCACTCCATCGCGCTCAGGAACATCTCCCTCGCCAAAGGTACCTGCCTGGCCCGCTGGAGCCCCAGCCCGTTCTTCCTTACCCGCGCTGGCTGTGCAGGCCTCCCACGCACCCCTCCTCCCGGGGCTGAGGTCCCCTTCCGAATCCACTTCACTACGCCGGAGAGCTGGCCCCTTATTAAATCTTGCCCTCTAGGACCCTGGAGCTTTTACGCCCACAATTTCCTGGCCATTGGTGTCTCTCCCTGGGTAACCCCTAACGCCCTCCACCTCCCAGAAACCTGTACGTGTCCACACCCTTGGGCAGCAGAATGGCCAAGGGTTGCTAATCAGGAGCTGGGTAGCCTAGGCTTGGAGATGTGCCCTGAGGGGAGAGCCTCCAAGGGGTTTCCACGCACGGGGTGAGGCATGCCCAAACGCAGGAACAGGCGCCTCCAGGGTCGTGGTGTTCCAGTGGGACAAGGAATTGGCAAACCCCACATTTGAACTCGGCCTTCCAGGCTGTTACGTATATTCATCCAGGCAGAAGAACACGTTGAACAATGTGTTAGCTTCATTTAGAACTCTTCAATATAATGGCAAAAATGTGTGGGCCCCCATTAGTACTCTTGCCCCAGCCCACAAACTCTAGAACCTTTAGAGTCAGCCTTCCTCTCTTCGAAGCACCCCTAACTGCCCCCTACCCACCTCACCCCTTCTCCTTCCTGCTGCTGTCTGCCCTGCACGTACATCACTGTCAGAGGCGCCTTTCATGAAATGCACTTTTCCCACATCATCTGCCCCCCACCCGGACTCAGGACTCTCCTGTGGCTCCCCGGGTTCTGCCAGATTCAGTACATACTCTTAGCCTGACAGTAGGCAATAATAATACCACGCCGAAGACCAAGTCTGTCAGGTACCATGGAAGCATGCCTCCTATGACGTCTTTTATTTTTAAATTTTTATTGAAGTATCGTTGACACACAATGGTACGTTAGTTTCAGGTGTTCAACGTAGTGATGAGACAACTCCGTACCCTAGGCTGTGTTCGCCGCAAGTGTAGTTACCATCATATAATGTCTTTGAAAAACAACAGTACACTGAGATTCAGGAACCTGCTTACTACTGTCTCTCGCTAGGAGGTGATGGAGGCGGGATTTGGACCCACGCTTTTCTGATCCCAGAGCTGCTGTGCTTTCTATCACACACCTGACCACCAGCTGTCTTCCCGGCCTTCTCCTCTGCCTGTTCCCCTATACCAGAGGTTACAAACAGAGCTGTCTGTAGGGGCAAGCTCAGCAGTGCCAACGAGTGATGTGACCTTGGTGGCAAGTAGTTGGGGCTATGATAGGTCCACCGGATTTGGGCCAGGCTGGAATGTGGGCCTGGCTTTGACAAAGTCTTCCCATTTTACACAAGAAACCAGAAACGTGGAATGTTCTAGAAATGTTTAACTGTCTAACTCTGTGGGCCACATACGGTCCATAAGCAGCCAGTTTGTACCCCATGCCCTGTGGGAAGCATCCCGTCCAGCGGGACGCGTCTTGTCACTGCCCCAGAGACACGGCCCACGCTTCCCACCTCCTTAGCTATTCCTTCTACAGCAGTGCCTCCTTCCTCCTCTTCCTCCTCGTCATCCAGATCCCCGTGATCCTCCATATCTCACTCAAGCCCACCTCTTCCAAGAACGCCACTGGCCCCTCTAGCTCACTGAAGTCTCCTCCCCTGAGTTTCTCCATTTAGCAGAGCAGAAAGTGGTGACGATGGAGCCTTCCATTTGCATGGTACCTTCCAGTCCACAGAGGGTTTTGAGGTGCACTATTTTGCTTTAAAGTGGGTCCCAAGACCAACTGTGAGGTTGGTTGAAGGCAGCCTTTATTATTTAGTGCAGGGTAGGATTCCTGCAGGCAAACAACTGAGGCTCCCAGAGGAAATGCCTGATTTATACAAGGCCACACAGCTGGTAATGATCTGACCCAGGACGTTTTGTTTTCAAACCATTTTAATAAGGTACAATTTACATGCTGCAGCGTTCACCCACTTAAGTGTATAATTCAGTGATCGGGCCAGGATGTTTAACCCGCTGCCCAGTGCTCACCACACTGCGCTACACCCCAGCCCCTGCCTCTGTGCCCCCCTGCACCCCCCCCAGCACCTCACAGTGCAATGCACATGAACTCCGTGAATGTTTGCAAAGCGACTGTTAGATCTTGAACCTGGACAGTCAGAGCGTTGGTTTTCTTGTCCTGGGTCACTCAGGCTTTCACTTCCCAGAAACCAAAGGAGGGCAGGAGGTAGAATTTATTCTTCCAAATCCACACCCCTGGGATTTTAGTTTTTCCCCTCTTCTCTTTTCCTTGGCCTTCTCTGCCCATAGCCACCTGTCAGGTACTTTCTAACAATAGCAGCTGTACTGAATTATGACCTACTATGAGCCAGACGTGGTGTCGACACTCATTCTCTAAATAGACATTAAAGACTGCTAATCCTCACATCCTGCAAAAGGGTATGATTGTCCCTATTTCATGGATGAGAAAGTTGAATAACTTTCCCACTCTTTCTTATGCAATTGGCAAGTAGCAAAGTCCAGGTCTGAATGGGGATCTTTCTGGTTCAGAAATCATGTTCTTGTCACTGACCATCCTGCTCTCTAGGGAGGAAAGATCCCAGCTCTGAGCAAAAAGGGAGAAGAGAGTTGTCCCTTGGACTCCATCTGGGGGTGTTTGGGGGGAGTCCCTCCCCATCCCTCCCCCCTTCCTCCCTCTTGCAGTCAGTAGACACCACCATGCTTCCTGCTGGCACATCCTCCTGGGCCTCTTCCAGCATTTCACATCCTGGTTCTTCAATGTGCAAGCCTACTCTCCTTGGCTTGAACCGAAGCGGCTGTGGGGCATTCATTTGTGAAGGTTCTTCCAGTGGAATCCTCCAAGTAGTCTTTCTTTGGTTCTTAAACTAAGATTCACACTCTGTTCCCTGGAACCGAAAGTTTCATCTCAGTCCTGCCCAGCCTGCCTTCTAGTCCTCAAGCTTTGCCTTCTCGATGGGCTGCTGGCTCCTCGGAGACGAACACCACTCAGTCCCTCTGGCTCCCAGGATCACCACCGCATCCAGTATCTCCCTTTTCCATTTCCCTCTCTCGTGGTTGCCAGGGTCCCAACTGGCATGATTAGAGAAGATTCTGTGTGGCATATCTGATGTAATCGCCATTCAACTTTAAAGGTTTTTTTTTTTTGAAGTTTATTCATTTTAGAGAGACAGAGAGTGAGTGTGGGAGGGGCAGAGAGAGGAGGGAGACACAGAATCCGTAGCAGGCTCCAGGCTCTGAGCTCTCTCAGCTCAGCTCTCAGCTCTGGGCCTGATGTGGGGCTCGAACTCACCGACTGCAAGATCATGACCTGAGCCGAAGTCAGACGCTTAACTGACTGAGCCACCCAGACGTCCCATCGCCATTTAACTTTAATGAGACAAAACTCTACCCTGGCTTTGGGATAAGAGGTGTTTTACTGGCTAAGCTTCTATGCATTTCCATACTGCTCTCTGGAATGGCCTTTCTGCCTTAAGTTTGTCCAGTTCCTCTCTTAGTCTTTAAACACACACACACACACACACACACACACACACACAGTCACATTCACACACACACTCACACTCTCCCCCTCTTTGCCCTTTCCTGGTGCAAAATCTACAAATACTCAACTATGTATATTTTTCAACTATGAGCTTATTTATGTTATTCTTGAGCTTGACCCCAAATGGTTTTCATTCTCTCACTTCGTTATACAGTTTTCTCTGAACTTTGTCTCCGGTTTGTCTTTTGTGTACATTCACAGCAGTGCTTTTTGTTTTCTGCTTTGGATTTTCAGTATTAATCATGTCTGTTGAAATCTGTCTGTGGTTTGCGAGAAGCAGAGAACTTAAATGATCAGAGAGAAAAGGCATACAGGAGTGAGGAGATAACCAGAGAGTGGGGGGCATCCCAGGAGGGGTAAATGTAACTAGTGAGGGGGGCATACAGGAGGGGGAAGATAACCAGAGAGGGCAAGTGTACCAGAAGGGGGGAGATAGCCAGCGAAGGGACATACCAGGAGGAGGAAAGGTAACCAGAGAGAGGCCATACCAGGAGGGAAAAAAATAACCAGAGAGGGGAGGCATACCAAGAGGGGGAAAGGTAACCAGTGAAGGGGCCATATAGGAGGGGGAAGATAACCAGAGAGGGGAGGTATACCAGGAGAAGGGAGAGAAACCAGCAAGGGGGGGGGGCTCTACAGGGGTGCGAAGGGGTGAGCGAGGCAGGAAGGCAGGACTCTCCACCATATTCAGATGGCCTGTTTGCTAGATGGAAGGTTATAGAATCGCAGAATGTTACCCTGATAATGGGCTCTGTAATCATCTAGTCCACTCCTCTTGTTTTACAGTTGAGGACCTTGAGGCTCAGAGAGGGGAAATGACTTGCCCAAGTCAAATCCCAAGCGGGTGGCCCCAGCCAGGACTCGAAAATGCATCTCTCAGTTCATGAACACGAGTTGGCAGAGCAGATTTATCTGTGAGCCGCTTCTTAAACATGCTGTGTAGTAGGGAGTCCAGTTCCAGCAGTGTTATAAATGGACGACGTGATGGAGCGAGGCCATGGGTTCCGGGCTCCAGCTCTGGCTTCTCATGCATAGGGACGTGTTGGAGGTGACAAGGTCTCTGTGAGCAGGGTGATAATGTAAATAGTGTTCCTGCTCTACCGAGGACTGGGAAGCACGGACTGTGTGGCGGCTCCCCGGGAGGGCTAGATGGCACTGTGTCCTGTCACCTTCCACGCCAGCCTCTCTGCTGGAAAGGGAGTGGAGAGCATGCACTTGCATCCGGCCTGGCCCGCCACCCCTTAGCCCATGACACTCAGACGAAGGCTGGCCTTACAGGCTGGGCCGGAGCCAGGGGCAGCACCTGCGCCTCTGGGCCAAGCCCCCCCAAGCCAGGAAACACGGCTAACAGTCCTTGCCCTGGGCACACAGTGAAGGAAGTGGGAGAGTGTGCAAAACTGTAAAGGTAATAGAGCTGAGAGCCCAGTGCCCA